TATACATCATACTAAACACTAAATGAACAAGGGGGGTACGGACAACCGAACAGAAAGGGAGTGAGTCTGCTACAGGTTAGTGTTAGGATGAAGGCTAGTGATAGAATTACTGTAAGAGTTAGTTATAGGATGAGGGTTAGTGTTAGAGTTAGTATGAGGGTTAGTGTTAGAGTTAGTATGAGGGTTAGTGTTAGGATGAGGGCTAGTGATAGAATTACTGTAAGAGTTAGTTATAGGATGAGGGTTAGTGTTAGAGTTAGTATGAGGGTTAGTGTTAGGATGAGGGCTAGTGATAGAATTACTGTAAGAGTTAGTTATAGGATGAGGGTTAGTGTTAGAGTTAGTATGAGGGTTAGTGTTAGGATGAGGGCTAGTGATAGAATTACTGTTAGCGTTAGTGTTAGGATGAGGACTTGTGTTAGAGTTAGTGTTAGGGTGAGGGTTAGTGTTAGGATGAGGGCTAGTGATAGAATTACTATTAGAGATAGAGTTAGGATTAGGGCTAGTGATAGAATTACTGTTAGAGATAGAGTTAGGATGAGGGTTAGTGTTAGTGTTAGTATTAGGGCTAGTGTTAGGATTAGGGTTAGTGTTACCATGAGTGTTAGGGTGAGGGTTAGTGTTAGGATGAGGGCTAGTGATATAATTACTATTAGAGCTAGTGTTAGGATTAGGGCTAGTGATAGAATTACTGTTAGAGATAGAGTTAGGATGAGGGTTAGTGTTAGTATTAGGGCTAGTGTGAGGATTAGGGTTAGTGTTACCGTGAGTGTTAGGATGAGGGTTAGTGTTAGGAGGAATGTTTGTGTTAGAGTTAGTGTTAGGATTAGGCAACAATTAGGGTTTATTTAATTTTAGAGCAGCACTGATACATTCCCAATCTGTCCAAGATTAGTAGGAGTTACTCCTAATGACGTTCAGCCATACTCCCTTTATAGATTAGTTATACATGTGTTTATGCCGGTGTACATGGGTATATGTGAGTATACATGGGAATGTGTGGGTGTACATGGGTATATGTGTGTTTATATAGCGCCATCAGATCCGTAGCGCTGTACAATGGGTGGACTAACAGACATGTAATTGTAACCAGACAACTGGACGTACAGGAACAGAGTGGGTGAAGTAGGTACGAAGTAGGTTGTTAGAAAAGTATTCACTGAGGGCTTAGTAGGTGATTTTTGACAGTTTCAGAAGAGGAGTCATGGAGGGTGGAGGATAAAAACCTGCTAACAGTTTAATTTATATGCTTTCTTGAAGAAGTGAGTTTTCAATGATTTTTTGAAGGAGTGGAGACTGGGTGAAAGTCTTATGGAGAAGAAGAGGTGCAGCCCTGGAGAAGTCTTGGAGGCGAGCATCATAGGTGGGAGTACAGACAGAGGATAGACATAGGTCTTTAGCAGAGTGCAGGGCCTCCACGGGACATACTTGTGTATTAGGGAGAATAGATAGGCTTTATGTAGGGACACTGTAAGCAAGCACCAGAATTTTAAATTGAGCCTCTAACGGATCACCTGGCACCCCGACTGGGTACCTCCATTGAAGGATGCTCCTAGCGCTTCCTGAGGGCTGCAGGCACTCCAGCCGACACCATAACCACCGTAGACTCCTTCAGAGAGCAAGACAGGAACAGGCTCTTACAAGAGCTTAGCAGTGAATTTGGCAAGAGAGTATGCAGAGCATAGCAATCCCTTAGAGCAGATTCCCCCAATAAGAGACGGCACTCAAAATTGAGGGTGAAGTAGAACTGTCTGTACTGGCACATACAGCCTCTTTTATTCACATTCTACACACATAGTATTGCCCACAGGGTTTTACAGAACAACCAATCAATACGTACAATACACACAGACACTCCCACACAAAATCCTCCCCTCCGCCTGTAATATAATTACTGAACACATGGTCTAACTAAATTATCACAGGCAGGAAAATACACAGTTTTACACTATATTCATAACTCTAAAAGTATACATCAAATTCATATAAAGCTTACATTTTCAGAATCAGCATACTCCAAATACAAACATATGGCAAAATCATACAAATTGGTCCAGTGGGTCAAAAGTTAGTTGAAAGTCCCTTTGTGACCAAAGGAAGCATGGCTTTTCTGCCCAAAACCAGTTCCACAGAGTCTTCTATCCTGGAGATAATTGGGAAGTAATCCAATTATCTCCAAGGACAGAGGCAAAACTCCATTAGCCACATGGTAGCAAAAGACAATAAAATACATAAAAATATATAACTGTGCAGTTATTGCATAAAACAGGTACATTCAACATATCCCCAGATAGCTTAGATCTGAGCGCACATTATTACTGAATGGTGCTTAGATCACACACATACAGTTCAATTGCCATTGAGCCAAAGTCTTTCACATAGTCTTTCGTTATACGAATGGGCTCCATGGCATAGCTATCTGGGGTAACACTACTCACATAGGGAAAGTACAGAATGACCCGGCTTTCGGGTCTTTGCAGGGGAAAATCAAGCGTTTCAACATGGGGCCATAGTCACAGGGCAGGAGGCCGGCAATCAGTCTTCTCCAATGCCCAGTGGCAAGGCTGGTTCCGCCACAGAGCCCTATAGCTAACTGGAAGCCAATGTAGGGACTGACAGAGGTGAAGGCGTGGGAGATGCAAGACAGGAAAATGAGCCTCGCCACTGCATTCATTGTAGATTGCAGCGGTGCAAGCTGGGAATATGTAAGACCATTGAGAAGGGGATTGCAGTAGTCAAGGCGGAAGAGAACAGCATGGACCAGCACATTAGCCGCATCCGGCATTAAATAGGGGCGGTTGCACGCTATGTTTTTGAGATGAAAGCAACAGGATTTGGTGATTTATTGGACATGAGGGGTGAAGGAGAGGTTGGAGTCAAAAAGAACACCCAGGCAGCGAGCCTGCGATGTAGAGGTGATGGAAGCGTGGTTGACTTGGAGGGAGACAGACACGGGAGTAGCAACACTTGAGGGAGGAAAGACCAGAAGTTCTGTTTTGGACAGGTTGAGTTTAAGGAAGTGAGCAGCCATCCAGTTGGAAATCGCAGAGAAGCAGTCAGAGACATGAGTCAAGATGGGCGGAGAGAGATCAGGAAAGAAAAGGTAGATTTGTGTGTTATCCGCATAGAAATATGTGGCTATATGTGGGTGTATGTGGGTATATGTGGCTCTATGTGGGTGTACGTGGCTATATGTAGGTGTACGTGGCTCTATGTGGGTGTACGTGGCCCTGTGTGGGTGTACGTGGCTCTATGTGGGTGTACATGGCTCTGTGTGGTTGTATGTCGCTCTATGTGGGTGTACGTGGCTCTATGTAGGTGTACGTGGCTATATGTGGGTGTACGTGGCTCTATGTGGGTGTACGTGGCTCTGTGTGAGTGTACGTGGCTCTATGTGGGTATACGTGTGTATTGCAGATTTATGCAGACACACAATAAAAGTATTGGTGCTTCAATTATTCTGGACTTTAATGTAGCAAGTTATAGAAAGACTGGTTTGGTAAATAATAGAATTCGAGCAGAAATTAGTACTTTCTATGAAGTTATACCAAGTCACTTTTATCATAACATGTTCCCTTGAAATATCATTGTACTGAAACCCATAACACTGTCAGCCAGACATTGCTTTATATATTTCTTTATACGATGGGTTAATATTCTGAATGAGATGCAATGGCATGCCGTTTCCCTGCTGTGCTCCCCATCACGTGTCGTATCATGCTGAAACTTATATCCAGAGCTGCAGATACCATCACGGCCAGCTGCTGGTGTGCGCACAAACTTGGATCTGTCCTTGGATCATTTCCAGCGGACGCACACAGAGTTAATTTGATGGCAGAGCACAGGATGTGGATTTAATATTCCAGGCAGAAATGAACTTACACTTTGAAACCGACACGATGTAAACTCAGAGTGATAAACTCCTGAGTCACAGAATGTGCTCCTAATTTGGCAATTTTACAGCGGCCTGCAACGGGCGAGTTCATTTGTTAGTTGATAAAACAGGAGATGCACGCGATAACCGCTATTTATATTGTGTTTATCGTCAGATTCCCTTACAGGAAGAAAGCAGAGAGTCACATTGATTATTTCACACCTGGAGCAATGATTACACATAGATCCAGCCCTTCGAGTGACGTGCCTCGTACAGACTGCGCCGCCGCGGTCCACAAACGCTTCCGTTCTATATTATACTATATTATATATTATAACCTCTCTTTATATATATATCTATAAATGGGGTGACACACAGATTTTAATTTAACCCATTCCATCTAAATTCAGCTGCAAAGGATGAACCAGAAATTAAAATTTCGATATTGTTAATTTAAACGTTTATAGTATGCTTGAACAGCAATTTATATAAATAGAAAAATTTGTTGATTGTGTTGTGTTGACCTCACATTTCAGATAAATGTTCCAATTGTATTTCTTTATGTTATAAGTTAGAGCTCAGCAGAGAGAGCAGGGAGAGGGGAGTGATTGCCAGGCTGCCAAACGTAGCTTACTGGAAAACTCTCCGTTAACAGAAAGGGAATTCTTCCAAACGAGAGTGCAACAAATTTGCTAACTCTGCGATGATAAAATGAGAGGAAGGAAGACATTTTATTTTTCTAAAATCAGAGAAAATTCTCATCAGGGCATATTGACTTTTTAAATGCGTGTTTTCTATAAAACTTGGCAACTTATGTAAAAATCAGATGATACAAGTCTTTTATCCTTCTCTCCTTGCCCCGAGTCATCACGTGAATGACAGTTTGGGTTTTTATATATATTTTATTTTGTTAATGTAATAATCTACAGAAAAAGATTTGAGATTTTCGTTATTATTCATGTTTTAATAGTAACACGTAATAAAGGCAGGGGGGAATGAGTTTTATTTAATATTGTTTTTGCGATTATTTTCCAAACACTGATAGGAGCTGCTGAATAATATCTTGCAGAACAAATAATCCTTTTTACTGTTATCTTTCAGGAAAGCCCCCCAGATATTGTGTTTGGTGGGATCGGTCTACGTGGACTGTCTGAAGCCTGCAGTCCATCTATCATTGTCATACGTAATCACCGCAAAGAATTGTACTTGAAGTCTGCAGCTTGTCAGAGATGCGGACAGGTTTTGTTGTGATTTGAGCAAAGCCAAGGTCTGCAACTGGCTGAGCGCTCTTTAGAAAGACATACGATACCGCTGGGACTCGGAAAATCATTCTTGCTTCTATGTTCCTTACAAGCTCACTACTCCCAGTCACATAACTGTCTAATTGGTGATATTGAAGAAAGACACAAGCCCATCAAATCCAATCTCTGCCAGTCTGCTTTACGTCTTATTCAGATACCGTGATCCTTCCCATGAAACAAAGAACAGTGATTTCCCCTCTCCACGGGTCTGGCAGCCAGACTCCCAGTAAGAGCACTATTGGCACATCTCCTGCCGGTGATTATAGCTTTTGGAAGATCAGAACTGTCTGCAGGTCCGAGTGAAACGCTGACACTGTGTGATATTATAAAACTCACTAATGCTTTTATAGCGCCGATCACTCACAACGTCCGTCTGTATCACTCAACGTGACAGAATTGGAATACTGCAATCGCTGATGTGAAAGGCTTGACGATATTGAGGTTCTATAGAGTTCGACTCAGTATGATTTGAATAACTGGTTTCATTCAGTATAAAGATACATTGCCCCTCTCTTACTACATTGTGTTATTACATTATCCTGGTTATTTCATGCAATGTGTATACAGGGAGTGCAGAATTATTAGGCAAGTTGTATTTTTGAGGATTAATTTTATTATTGAACAACAACCATGTTCTCAATGAACCCAAAAAACTCATTAATATCAAAGCTGAATATTTTTGGAAGTAGTTTTTAGTTTGTTTTTAGTTATAGCTATGTTAGGGGGATATCTGTGTGTGCAGGTGACTATTACTGTGCATAATTATTAGGCAACTTAACAAAAAACAAATATATACCCATTTCAATTATTTATTATTACCAGTGAAACCAATATAACATCTCAACATTCACAAATATACATTTCTGACATTCAAAAACAAAACAAAAACAAATCAGTGACCAATATAGCCACCTTTCTTTGCAAGGACACTCAAAAGCCTGCCATCCATGGATTCTGTCAGTGTTTTGATCTGTTCACCATCAACATTGCGTGCAGCAGCAACCACAGCCTCCCAGACACTGTTCAGAGAGGTGTACTGTTTTCCCTCCTTTAAATCTCACATTTGATGATGGACCACAGGTTCTCAATGGGGTTCAGATCAGGTGAACAAGGAGGCCATGTCATTAGATTTTCTTCTTTTATACCCTTTCTTGCCAGCCACGCTGTGGAGTACTTGGACGCGTGTGATGGAGCATTGTCCTGCATGAAAATCATGTTTTTCTTGAAGGATGCAGACTTCTTCCTGTACCACTGCTTGAAGAAGGTGTCTTCCAGAAACTGGCAGTAGGACTGGGAGTTGAGCTTGACTCCATCCTCAACCCGAAAAGGCCCCACAAGCTCATCTTTGATGATACCAGCCCAAACCAGTACTCCACCTCCACCTTGCTGGCGTCTGAGTCGGACTGGAGCTCTCTGCCCTTTACCAATCCAGCCACGGGCCCATCCATCTGGCCCATCAAGACTCACTCTCATTTCATCAGTCCATAAAACCTTAGAAAAATCAGTCTTGAGATATTTCTTGGCCCAGTCTTGACGTTTCAGCTTGTGTGTCTTGTTCAGTGGTGGTCGTCTTTCAGCCTTTCTTACCTTGGCCATGTCTCTGAGTATTGCACACCTTGTGCTTTTGGGCACTCCAGTGATGTTGCAGCTCTGAAATATGGCCAAACTGGTGGCAAGTGGCATCGTGGCAGCTGCACGCTTGACTTTTCTCAGTTCATGGGCAGTTATTTTGCGCCTTGGTTTTTCCACACGCTTCTTGCGACCCTGTTGACTATTTTGAATGAAACGCTTGATTGTTCGATGATCACGCTTCAGAAGCTTTGCAATTTTAAGAGTGCTGCATCCCTCTGCAAGATATCTCACTATTTTTGACTTTTCTGAGCCTGTCAAGTCCTTCTTTTGACCCATTTTGCCAAAGGAAAGGAAGTTGCCTAATAATTATGCACACCTGATATAGGGTGTTGATGTCATTAGACCACACCCCTTCTCATTACAGAGATGCACATCACCTAATATGCTTAATTGGTAGTAGGCTTTCGAGCCTATACAGCTTGGAGTAAGACAACATGCATAAAGAGGATGATGTGGTCAAAATACTCATTTGCCTAATAATTCTGCACTCCCTGTAGTGTCAGTTATTATTAGGCCCTGTTACTGGATATATAGAATTGCGACCCATTGATGGGAGTCTTAGTAAAACCACCAGTTTTACATTAATTTACTCCAGTCAGAAAGAATTCCTAGTCAATTCAGATAATAAACGATAAATGGAGTTAATTTGCTAAACGTTGCATTGATCCAACATTACAGCGAGCTCGGCAATAATCCATGGTTCAGGGAGCTGGTTAGAAAATCACTCACTGCAGCCGACTCATGCTGCCATGGTTGGCCAATACATGACTAAAGCAAAATAATCAATTCTCTCAGAACCGTCTGTAGCAGACTCATTCCCTTTCCCCTCATCCTAACACTAGCTCTAACACTAATTCTAACACTAGCCCTCATCCTAACACTAACCTGTAGCAGACTGTACCCCCATTCTTCGTTTCCCTAATGGATGATGTGTGGTCCTTTTATACATCCCCAAACATCGACCCACCACTTTTAAGTAATTAACTTGACTGCTTTCCTTGGGTGGCCACCATTATTATAACCGAACACAGGTGCTCCAGTGAATGGCACCCATTCACAGGCAGCAGTACCTGGTCGTCGAACACCCAGAACTATTTTCGGTCACATGATCCCATGAACCCGGGCAAAGATTGTACTGCTGCCCGTCCCACTGCCCGACCAGCTAGACAAACGACATTCGGGAGATAGAAACTACCGACCGGGGGCAAGCATTTGCTCCCTAAAAGCTAGGGGGGAGCATTCATCAGTGTTCTCACAGGAACCCCCAAAAGTGGACCGGTTGTTGCCCTTGTTTCTCTGGTACTGTTTTGGGCCATCACCTGGGGGTCTGTGCATAAAAGGCAAAGTTTGTGTGGAATAAATCAGTTGTACTCCAAGAACTGTGTGTCGTCCAGTTACTGGGGATGGATAGAGCTATTCACATTTCAGCACCTTGTTCCTTAGTTTCTGTTTTCACGTATGCAGCGGAGGAAAAGCCCTTGTCAGAACTAGCGCTCTGCTACAAGTATAATGTAATAATATCGACAGAAAACGTATGGGATACGGCTGTAAAATCTAAGAAGAACATAAACAAAACATGCTCTATTTTGCCTTCCACAATATATCTAAAGCCTATTGATTAGAAAGTAGAGTCAGTAATGAAACTTTCTCCTTCGTCCTAAATACGTATCAAAAGCATAATCTGAACAATTGCAAACAAATGGACACATTTGAAAGATGTCTTAAGATCTATTTCTATAGATCTGTGTGAAGAAATCCCCCTTTTGTTACACTATTTCTGCCCATTGCATTCGGTAGATGTAACTACCGAACAAAGACCACCCCTCTGGCTCGTTAAACATCAAAGTCTGATTTAATTGCTATCTCTGTCTGTGCGGCCAGTGTTCGTACAGACGAACGCCACGTGGCAGAGAAAACCGCGGCCATCTTTGTTCATGTGAACAAAGGCAGTGGGACTTGGTCGTCGAGTGTATGGAACTGAAAACGGACACTCGACTTCCCGAACACCGGTCTCAAACAGACGAACGCTGGAACTCTACTTACCGAATAGCTAGAAGAGCGCTATTCGGTACTTTGGTGCATTCGACAGAGGGGCACGAACGCTGCTAGGAGCCAGAGAGATCCATTCAGTACTTTGTTCGCTTTTCTCCTATTTCTAAAGTGACCGGCAAAACCCACCGGGGTAAACAGCCCAGGGTGAGCCGGTCACAGAAGACATCCATAGTTTTTGGGTGAAATTCGAATATGTTGGTCACCCAGATCAGGGCTATCAGGGGACATGTTATTTGTGGGGGTACCCCAAGTATAAAGGGGTGATCCAGTTATTGGGGAAAAAGTGATTTTTCAGCCCGGAGATAATTAAGTTATTCTTTTATCAGACTGAATTATCTCCAGGGCTAGGGGAGGGAACTGTGGGTGTGTGTTAAAGATTTACAGTATGTGATTGGTGAATATTTATCCCTCCCTGAGGGATGTCCCCTTGCATGGGGACTTGCATAAAAGCTCTGTGCACCCATTAAAAGTTAGTTCATTTTGTACCCTTCTTCTTGACTTCGGCTGATGTTTGGGGATTCGTGTGTTTCACTAAGGGAATCATCTTGTGGAGCTATTTGGAATTGCTATAGGATTCGTCTACCCTATCTACCGAACGGAGGGCTATAATCACTAATGCTCTGGCGGTTCGGGAGGAAACTACCGAATGAGGTTTAAATATACTTGGTTTCTTTACAATCTGCTATCTGGATTTCTTCTGATAGTCTGTTTATCTTAACTAATGGACACGCCCAGATTGACTATCGGGCACACCAGGCATAAACATGGGCTGAGGCCGGCAGGGGAAGTCACAGGATCTCCCCTGCTGGTCCATGCGCTATGCAAGGCCAGCCCCGCTGTATTCCGTGACGGGCCGGTGGGGAGATCAAAGATCTCTCTCACCAGCCCACAGGCAGCTACATGTGGCTGCCGGCGGGGGAGGGAGGGAGACAGGAGAGGACCCGGAGAAGCTCTATCTTGCAGTTCGGCTGGGTTCCTCTCACGAGAACCGGAGCGAGTTCACTCACCACTAGGACCACCAGGGATTGCAGCATGGTCCTCCCTCCCAGATTAAAGGTAAGAAAGAAGGGGGGATAAAATCAATGCTTGTTTATTTATTTATTTTTTAATTAATATATATTGACAATAATTTTAAGCCCCCAACACACAAGCCCACACACACACATTGCACCCCTGATACTCACAACACCCTCACTCACACACAGCACCCTCACACACACAGCACCTTCATTTACACACAGCACCCTCAGTAACACACAGCACCCTCATTTACACACAGCACCCTCACTAACACACAGCACCCTCACACACAGCACCCTCACACACACACAAACACCGACATACACATCATCTCACACACACACTGCACCCATGACACTCACTGCACCCTCAATCACACACAGCACCCTCACTTACACACTGCACCCCTTACTCACACACACAGCACACACACACTGCACCCCTTGCTCACACACACAGCACACACACTGCACCCCTTACTCACACACACAGCACACACACACACTGCACCCCCTTAACCACACAGCACCCTCACACACACAATGCACCCATCTCACACACACACTACACCCCTCACACATACACACACACTGCACTCCTCACACTCACAGAGCACCTCTCTGATAAACAGTGCACCCCTCTCACACACACTGCACCTTTCTCACACACACTTCACTCCTCTCACACACACACTGCACCCTCACACATACACAAAACACCTATCACACATCCTGTACACCCTTCACACATACTGCACCCCTCATACGGACACACAGCACCCCCTTAACACACTGCACCACTCACACACACAATACTTATATATATATGTATATATACTACAGAACCCCTCACACACATACTTCACCCCTAAACACATTACATTCCAGACACACACTAGATCCCTTACCCAACTGTGGATCATCTACACACATACACTCACTAGATCTCCTATACAAACACTCTGGGTCCTTCAAACACACACTAGATCCCCTACATACCTACACACACTGCACCACCTACACACAGGGCCGGCCTTAGGGGTGTGCGAGCTGTGCGACCGCACAGGGCGCCATGGAACAGGGGGCGCCCTGTGGCCGACACAGCTCACTCATGGCCGGAGTGCAGGGGAGCTAAAAGAGGTACCTGGCTGGAGGATTAATTGTTCTCCACCCGGGTCTATTTAAAAAAAAAAAAAAATCGCGGCAGAGGGGGCGGGGTTTACCGAGCGGCGGAGGCGGGGCTTATCGAGAGGCGGAGACGGGGCTAATACCTCCCGAAGCCCCTGCTGTACAGGAAGAGGGAAAGATGCTTCCCCATCAGCCAACTGCATCCACTGGAAAGAGGTAAGTGTGTGTGTGTGACTGTTTGCCTGTTTGTGTGACTGTCTGTCTGTGTGTGTGTGTGACTGTCTGTCTGTGTGACTGCCTGCCTGTGTGCGTGTGACTGTCTGTGTGTGTGTGTGTGTGTGACTGTCTGTGTGACTGCCTGTCCTGTGTGTGTGTGTGTGTGTGACTGTCTGTCTCTGTGTGTGTGTGTGACTGTCTCTGTGTGTGACTGTCTCTGTGTGTGACTGCCTGCCTGTGTGTGACTGTCTGTGTGTGTGACTGCTGTGTGTGTGACTGCCTGTGTGTGACTGCCTGTATGTGACTGCCTGCCTGTGTGTGTCTGTCTGTAACTATCTGTCTGTGTGTGACTGCCTGCCTGTGTGTGTGACTTTCTATCTGTGTGACTGCCTGCCTGTGTGTGTATAACTGTCTATGTGTGTGTTACTGTGTGTCTGTCTGTGTGTGTGACTGCCTATGTGACTGTCTGTCTGTGTGTGTCGCTGTAGCTGTGCCATTGTTTGTGCCTGTGCCTGTATGTGTGACTGCCTTTAACTGAGTGTGTGTGTACATGCCTGTAACCGAGTTTAAATTTCCCCCACCCCTTCCTGTCAAGGCCGCACTTTGACTGACAGACGCTCACTCACTGACAGACGCACACTCACTGACAGACACACACTCTCATATACACTGACAAACAATGACATACACACATACACTATTACTTTGACAGATGCACACACTGACAGATGCACACTCTCACTGACAGACGCAAGCACTCACTGAAAGATGCACGACTCCACTGACCGACACATACACACTGACTGACACACACTCACTGACCGACACACACTCACTGACCGACACATACACACTCACTGACTTACACACTCACTGACTTACACACTCACTGACTTACACACTCACTGACCGACACACACTCACTGACGACACATACACACTCACTGACGACACATACACACTCACTGACTGACACATACACACTCACTGACTGACACACACTCACTGACTGACACATATACACTCACTGACCAACACACACATTCACTCACAGACACACACACATTCACTTACAGACACACACAATTACACACTTACAGACACACACACACACACACACATTCACTTCAAAATAAACACTCACAGACACACACACAGACATTTCCACTAACACTCACAAACTAATATTTTTTACATTTATTTTAAATCCACCCAGCCTCCCTGGGAAAGCTGGAGTGGATTTCTTACCAGCAGTCCAGTGTGGCTGCTGGGCAGGCAGGCAGGGGGCGCACAGGCTGAGTAAGCAGCGCTTAGTGATGCCGGGAGCCGGACTGACGTCATATTCTGGCTCCCGGCTTCATTAAGCGGCGCAGAGGAAGCTGAGCAGGAAGAGCTCAGGTGAGTATGCTCCTTCGCTGCCCGCTGCCAGCCTTGGGGGGGCTCAAAAGTGGCCAGCCGGTCAGCTCTTGAGCCCCCCAGGATGCGAGGCAAGCAAGGGATCTGCCTGGGGGTTTGGAGGGATGCTTTTTTTTGCCGCCCCCTGCAAAGTGGCGCCCAAGGCAGATGCCTTGTTTGCCTCGTGATACACACGTCCCCGGTGCCTGTGTGTGTTACTGTATTCAGGCAACTTGGTGGGAGGTGGGGGGGGCGCCGTGAAGACTTTTTGCACAGGGCGCCTAATTGCCTAAGGCCGGCCCTGCCTACACACACTATATTCCTGACATACAAACTCTGGATCTCCTATGTACACACTAGATTCCTTGTAAGCAAACACATACTACATTCCCTAAACACACACACACACACACACTGCAGCCCGTATGCACCCACTCACTACATCCACTTTACACAGTATGTCCCCTATACACACACACACACTCTAAAGCACCTAGACACACATGCATTACATTACACTACAAACACAACAGGACTAAACCAAAATATTTACACAATATCACACCACAATCAACTCTACACACACACAATCCCACAAGCAGGTCCACAATACTCTTTCCTGGCATTTTGTCTCCTGGTATCCCACTTATGAAGACACCAGAGACAAGTTTCAAGCAAACACAGTGCAAGCATGTTATTAAATTTGCTTGCGCTGCGCAGAACAAATACAGGGCCTTTTTCTCATGCTAGAGCTCTGTAGCAGAGCTCTGCGCATGGTCTGCCCTGGAAGACCATTGAACTAACATGCTCACTTTGTGATGGGGCGTGTTTGTCATTGGCGATGACAAAACACACCCTATCTGGCCCCGCCCCCTTCTTAGTGGGCTGCTGTGATTGAAAAATGCCCGGACTGAATTTTCTTCCCAGTCCATCCCTGCTAATGGACCATAAAAGGTATTCAAGCCTCTATATAAGCCATCAGCAGATGGATAGTGTTGGCTATTTTCAGTCTACTAAGCCCTAGTGGTTAAAGTACCTGAACGTCTGTTTGCTCTCCACTAGAGCCATCTCTCCCTCTTGAGCGTCAATTGGCAAGTTTCCCTGGAAATGTATAGGTAATTGGCTGCTTGGTTCTCAACCAATAATTTTCAGAATTTTTTTTTTTTTTTTATACATTTGAGTTGGTCAATTTGATAATACAGCAATAGTGGGCAATCAGTTTTTCATTTCTAGTGTCCTTATGAGGTGTGTGTTGTCAATTTGCGTTCATATTTTGGAAGTCTTGTGTATTTCTTCCCTCCCTTCGTTATTGGGTATTACCCATTGTTGTGCTGCCATGGCCTATGACCAGGAAAAGAAAATTACAGTAAGTAGGAATAAACGTTCCTTTATATTTATTAATACACTGCATAATGTATTGCGTCTGATTGCGACTCCCCGATGAGACCGATGTTGGGCTCTGGCCTGGACAGGTTTCTGTTAAATATCCAGATTTGCGCTTTTCATTTTTGCCCACAGTGAATTGATTCAGATGATTTAGAAAACAGACAGCTGTCCAGCGATGAGTAATTATCGTGAGTAAATGAGGTTGTTGTGAATTGCGAGATGCAGATATCTCGCAGAACCCTTGGTTTGGCAGGATTGTTTGAAGACAGTTTGAGCCGTCTGTAAAATTTGAATTAGACGTATGCTCACCTACTTTATTACCTCGCTAATGAGAAAGTAAATACTCAAAGTTTATTCACAATTATTGCTCTACTGTGATTTGCAGGATGCAAGCTTAAATGTTAGCTATCGTGCATCGTCATCGTTTGTGTTTAGTGAATATGTCCTGATCCCTTCTTCTTGGAGGCATCTGTTAGATATTACAAGGACTCTGAATTGTATCAGGGAGTCACTTGTCAAGCTGTTCCCTTCCCTGTGCATCCATACTGCTTGCTGTCAATGAATCCAGCATCTAAGGAAACAGAGGGGGCTGAGGGGTGAGGTACGTAATTTTAAACTCAATGGAAAAGTCAACACGGAAAAGAGTTATGGTTAAAAGAACGTTGATATCCAACCTCCCAGAACCCTTTCTGCAAACAGGACCAGATGCCTTCAGGGAATTAAATGAAATAATGATCTCTGGAGGGCTTGTTTTATAGTATATGTTTAAATCAAATTAAACAGGGCTAACTTTATACAAACATAAATAAATCAATAAGTAAATCAATAAATAAATCAATCGATTATCCATTTCTTCCAGCGTTGAATTTATTGAACGTGCGTTGTTAGAGAGATTATTTTAGTGTTTCTTCTAACCTTATTTGGAAGTTTAAAGCTGTGATAAATATTATATAATAATAATTTTAAAAAATCCAGCCAGCCACAGGGAGTGGGAATCCAGCCAGCCACGGGGAGTGGAAATCCAGCCAGCCACATGGAGTGAAAATCCAGCAATGATAAGTCCAAGTGCAGTAGTGGGAACTTTGCCCGACGCTGCATTTAAAGTGAGTAAAATATTAGTAAGCTATTACTGCAAATCAAGGGGGACCGTCTCCATAGTTAAGTAGGGCCATTACACAGAAAATGTCCCCCCTTCTAATGGGTTGGAGTAACCTATATTGAGGCCAAAACCCATCAAATGCATTAAATTTGTTTTGGTGCTCAGCATGTCCCTTTAACTCAGTGTTCAGTTTGTTACGATTTGCTGTTTGGTGAATAGATCCCAGTTAGCTGCCTATAAGAGGAAAGTCACTGACAGATATAGAAGTTATTATAAATGATCTTTACACAATCTCGCGGCTCGGATATCATATTCAGTGTTCCATGCTGTGCGATACATCCACCTGCTCTGGCTTTTTACATCCTTTAGCTCTTTGGATAATGATGACAGCAGCTATTAATCCCTGTTCCATACTGTCATCGGACGTATGTTTTCTGTATCAGCGGATACCGCCTAACACACTACGGAAAATACACAACACCCGACATTAAACGTTATGCAGTCAGTATCGTGTTTAATTCATGAATTCATTTTTATTGAGTGAATGGCAAATGAGACTGAAAGTATCCCACGTAGCATTTTATTCAATGCTACAGATTTAATCACACACCCTGCTCCAGTGTCGGGCTCTGTCTGGTCACCTGCCCTTTTTTATGCTATTTCAGGGACTGGAGTATAATAGGAGCTGACATTTCATCGAATCCGACTGGAGCTTGTGATAAGTGAGACCAACTGATTGCTAACGGTCCGAGGTCAATGTCAGAGCAGGACAGCGGTCATTGTCAGCCCAGGGCTGTGGTTACACATTTCCCTTGTGATACTCTTATCTTTAATGAGCAGAAACGTGTCGATATGTCAGCTTCCTGTGCGGGTTCGCTCTCGATCCTATTGAGATTATTTTTTATTTACATGCTCAGGGCAGGAAAGGTGTAAACTTACAAATAACTAAATTTACAGCATGTGTAGGCAATGAGAACAGGGGTCGTGTTCAATCATGCCTGTATTACGGACACAGAACAAACAAACTAATACATAAAAAACATCTCACAGCTTTGTTCTATACTCCTAATAAATTTTGTCCTTTAATCTAAAGTATCTCCTTTATTACATGTTCCCTTACATAGTTGCATAGTTACATAGGCTGAAAAGAGACTTGCAGCCATCAAGTTCAGCCTTCCTCACATTTGTTTTTTGCTGTTGATCCAAAAAAAGGCCAAAAAAACAGTTTGAAGCAAACCCAGAACTGGTGTGTGTTTTTTATAGGGCAGGGCAGCTGTAACCAACACCTCCAATCTCATCTCATTGATTGGACTCCAGTTGGCTGACATCTCACTCCAATTAGCTCTTGGAGATGTCATTAGTCTAGGGGTTCACATACTTTTTCCACCTGCACTGTGAATGTTTACATGGTGTGTTCAATAAAAACATGGCAACATTTCATTCTTTGTGTGTTATTAGTTTAAGCAGACTGTGATTGTCTATTGTTGTGACTTAGATGATGATCAGATCACATTTTATGACCAGTTTGTGCAGAAATCCATATCATTCCAAAGTGTTCACATACTTTTTCTTGCAACTGTATATCACTTCCTCCCGGCATCAGTGATATTTGCCCTGTTAAAGGGTCACTGTGCCTGTAGCGGGACACCTGGTAACCTGGTTGGTTACTCCCACTATTTACCAAGTAAGAGACCAATTTTCCCCAGTTACCATGTGACACACAGTTCCAGGGGTACAACAACCACTTTATTGGCCACAAGCGGCTTTATACTTTCCCCATGCAAGGATGGCACACACAGGATGACAATGTCCCCTCCAAAGGTCCTCCCCCTCCTGGTGGTTGCACAACAGAACCGGAACTCCGGTCTCTTTGTCCACAGTTCCCGCCACCCAAATATGGGGTTTCCCACTTCCCGTGCCAGGGGGTCTTCTTCCCAGGTCCCTCTGTACCTGGGAGTCCCAGTGCGGGAAAGATTCACGCCTCCTGAGCTCCTAGGCCCAGAAAGCCCACCAAACTGCCATTGTCCCCAAGAGAGTGTCCCCATCAATCTCAGGGATCCCCCCGAACGGTAACAGTCTCCATTCGTGGGATCTCTGGGTGAAACCAGGCAAGAGAAGCGTCCTCATTCAGTGCACGAATGCTCCCCCTGGCCGCCACTTGTCTATACGAATGGCGGACGCCCAGGGAAGCACTCATTAATTACTACCCTTATGGTTTCACACTTATGTTGCAAATTGACAAAGTTTTTATTGGTTGGTGTGAACACTCCAAGGGGCATTGGGGAGGTCCTCATTCGGGAACCGAACAGGGTGGGAAGCAATCAGCGAACGCTTCCTCTGGATGGGCCGCCACCCAGTGTCAGCACACGCCAAAGCTCCACTTGGGATTTGTGGTTTTCACACCTTGTTAACTAGGTGCGAACATTCTAACAAGGTGTGAATGTTCCAACCGAACATTCTAAATAGGGAATCAAGGTGGTCTCCGTTCAGGAGGCTAACAGAACTTGCTCGTATGGGGACTCCCGAATGGGGAGTACGTAAAACATATGAATACACACAATATAGAGAGAAAACACGGTGACTGGCACATAGCAATTCACTAGCAGGTAGCGGTCCCGCGACAGGGCCCAAATGGACCCTGTTCAGAAATACCCATCAGGTGGCCCATCGTGCAGGCCCCAGTGGTGGTAGTTCCGTCGCTGTCTGACATAGAATGTGAGTTAGAAACAGTATTGAAAAATCCACCAAAATAAATAAATAGTGATCTGTGTGTTTTTTCAATCACTTATTGAGTGTTTTGACCAAGTATCGTACGCACCACATACCAAACTCATTATCGCTCTTTGGCCTTTCGGATAATCTTATTTTCAGCAAAGTTACATGTTTCATAATGATAGCATCATATTAAATGAAATATCAGTGTACAATCCATCAAACAAAATACAAGCGGACACACAGAGAGGTCCTCACTAGTAAAATGAGTAACACATGGCCCATTTGTTTGAAATTTAAGTATCGGTTTCTAAAACATATTTAATATAGAAGAAAGCTCTCCAAGGAACGGGTCAAAAATGTAACATTCAACAAACTACTAGAGAACTAATACGTTTAGTCATGATCTGAGCACGCTGTGAATGTCCTAGTAATTATTGGGAATAGCAGTTTTTCAGGTAGAATTGCAGATTACGCCAGAGATTGCTACATTGTGGTAATCTGGCTATCTTCATCCAAATAAAGAATAAATATGTAGATAATTATAGCAATGTCAACAAGAGTACTCAATGCTTATATCACAGTCTTAACTGCCCAATGCAATTATCTGGGCTTGGAATCAAACACCCGTCTTGGTAATTACAAGATTGTATCCATTCCTAAAAACAATATAAAACAAGGCAATCTGTCCAGTTTACAAAACACTTCAATTCTTCTAAAGCCTTGATTTCGAGTTGATCATACTTTCAGCAAGTGAAGGTTTTTCTACTTAAATTCAAGTTAAAGTGATACTTCTGAAATGTCAATTTTATTTCTATCCAATAAGTTTATTTAACCCCTTAAGGACACATGACATGTGTGACATGTCATGATTCCCTTTTATTCCAGAAGTTTGGTCCTTAAGGGGTTAAAGCATGTTAAAGCATATTTTTTCATGTACTTAATTTCAAATACGATGTGAGTGTTTAAATCTGACTTACTATTAGGAAAAAAATTATAGTTTATATAAGAAAATGTAAATGTCACATCAAGTATGAAAATCTTAGTAAATTATATTCATTATTTAAAGAAGCACTAATTTACTTAAATTTTCATACTAAAATGCATTTAGAATGGTAAACATTACATGTACTTTTTTACAGAGTGCTATCTCTGTAGTGGTTATAGTGCCAGTAGTGCCCTGAGATCTTCCAGTCACCTCCTCTATGAGAGCCGGAAGCTCTCTGCATTGAGTTAGCCTTGCAGTGCAGGGCTTATATTTTTGGCTGACAGTGGTCAGCTGACACTATCAGACAATGTGTCAGCCCTGCATGGATTTGTTCAGGAGAACTAACAGAAATTCCATACAGGTGTTACCGGCTCTCCACAGAGGAAGTGACCGGTGTCCGGTGGAACCCATGTAAGACGTAAAATAACTAATAAATTTTTGACGTCTTACGTGGTTGGGTTACCAGGGGACACCTGACACCATAACCACTAGAGTGTGCTGGTTGATGCGGTTTAAGTAAAAATAAATCTAATGCTTAAATGTTGTGGTCTGCTCATTAAACAAGTGCATGTTGTGACTTAAAGCAGCACTATGGGGTCAGGAACACAAACATGTATTCCTTAGCCTATAGTGTTAAAACCACTATCTAGCCCCCACTGGCCCCCTTTGGCTCCCTGAAGATAGAAAAATCTTACTTGTATTCTGAGTAAGAAGCTGCTGCCTCTGCCTGTGAA